AGATAATTCAAGCTGTGATTTGTCATAATTGTGATGATTATGGCTTACAGCTCATGAAAACCCCAAGAACCCCAAATCCACAACCTCAAAAAAGTAGATTATTACATGCAATCAATAAAACAAGGATTGTACATAGAACAATATCGGACCTCTGAAAAGTACAAGCATGCATATGTACTCAGTACTTGGTTTGGGCCCCTTTTGCAGAACTTACTGCAATTACTTTTGCACGATATTCTAATTATTCGAGTTTCACCTGTATGTGTGGTAGACTTGCGGTTCCGAGCCACCAGGTTCCGGTTCTCCTCAGGGCACTTCGAGGTAGGGTGATGTTTGGTGGGTGTCCCTGAGGCGGGGGAAATCTCCCATTGACGTAGCACAGCCAGGCCCTGGTCCAATGACCCTATAGAGAATGTGGTGTCGTCTTTCAAGATCAGGAGTTTGGGCGGGTAACCCCATTTGTATCGGATACCCTGGTTCCTGAGGGCTTTCGTAATCGGCAGCAGGTTCCTACGAAGCGAGAGGGTGTGTTGTGAGAGGTCAGCGTACAGTTGAAGTTTAGCATACTCCGCTGGTAGGTGGGATAGCCTGGCCGCCGTCAAAGTGTGATGGTTTAGGAAATCTGTGGATACGATCAATGATGAGGTCGGCGTCTGAACATTCAGGGAGAATCGTTTTAAACATATTCTGTACATATCCGGCCAGGTCAGACTGGGTAATAGATTCAGGGATACCTCTGATTTTGAGGTTGTTTCGCCGATTACGGTCTTCTAGATCGTCCATTTTAGATTTGAGCCACATAACCTCATCCTCTCTAACGTTGTGTGCGTCTACTAAGTCATTGAATGTGGAAGCGAAATCTCCCAATTTCTCCTCCAATGTGAGAGACCCTCTCTTTCACTTCCTGGACTTCTGCTTTAAATTGGCAGATCAGACTTTGCATATCTGAATGTATAGTGCTTCTGAGTGATATTAGCATGTCCTTTAAAGCAGAGTCAGACAGAGGTATGTCAGAGGTTGGGAAAGAGTTAATGGGAGTTACCAATTCTCTACTGGCTTCCACAGAGGAGTGTATAGGACTCACCATCTCCCCCTGCTGGAGAAGGCCTGGAGGCCTCGGTCTCGATTTGTGAGGACTGCCATGGGCGAGCGATGAGCTTTGCTGGGATGCTGGTGAGGAGACTGGGCCCTGCTGCCGCATCTGGGGCACTGTGGGTCCCATTCTTCCCCCATTCTCCGCTATGCCCGCTTCCCTGCCCCCACCGTCAGCAGTGTATAGGGGGGTCGGCGTGGAGTGAGGCTGGCCGGCGCCATCTTGTCTTGATTTGGGGTTCGTGGCAGCAAAGAAGGAGGTCAGTTTTCGGGTGCCCGTTTTTTTCTTCCGGGACATGACCGGAGATGTAACCGGAGTGACTGCGGCAGGTGAGTGAGACAGTGCCGGGTCCCGTTGTGCTGTTTAACGTGATCCGCTGTCGGCCCAAGCACGGAGCTCCAACTTAGGCAGCCATCCATCTCAGGTGCTGGCAACGCCCCCGGCACTAAACTTTTTACTTTAAACTCCGCAACAAGGACTAGCAGCCACCAGCTAAAATTGTCGGAGAAAAGATTTATCCACAAAGGGCGTAGGGGCTTCTTTTCAGTTAGAGCGGTTACATTTTGGAACTCTCTGCCACAGGCAGTGGTATCGGCAAAGAATATTGATTCATTCAAAAATCAATTAGATTCCATCATTAGACTGTAACATACATGGGTACAGGTACACTTAAATACTAGACCACACAGGACCACACACTGTCTGCAAAGGTGTAACCGCTGCAAATGGAGGATTCTTCGATGAATGAAAAACAGTATCATATGTGAGCTTGTTTTAAAATGCGTCAGGTGGCTCTGCTTTGTGACGTAGAAGTATGTAGTGCCGTATATGCAACCCGCTCTTCTCACCACCTCCTGGCTCACCTTCCTCTGCTGGGAGCTGAGGACTAGTGACAACAGTCTCAGGATGGTGAATGGTGGGAGATCTTCACAGTGTGCAGTGAACACAAAAGTGCTTAGCTCTGGATTTACAGCTGTCAAATCTCAGGCTTTAAATTGTGTTCGGGTAAACTTTTTGTCCCCAATCTGGAGGAAGGAAAAAAAATAAATAAAACATGAATTAAAAAAAAAAACATGTAAAGGGCCCCAGCCCCCATGAACAGACGAACACATGTGCATATGTAAACACTGATTGACAACACATATTAGGTATTCCAGCATACACCAGAGGTTTTTAATGCAGTGCCTATGTCCAATTTTCTGGTATCCTTGTTTCTCAGGCACATGCAGTTTTGAGACTTGACAGATTAGGAGTTTGTTTACTTGACATTTTCTCAAAGGTTGGAGGTAGTTTAATGTATTTTATGATATATAATATATATGATAATAAAGATTTGATAAACATTTGAACAAATATTTTACAACATACAACATGACAATTATATATATATATATATACACACACACACACATATATACACATATATACATACATACACTGAGTGGCCAGATTATTATGCCCACCCCATCAGTACTTTGTTGGGCCATGAGATGACTCCACGAGATGACTTCATTGGGCCGCCTCTGACTCCACGAGATGTTGGTGATGCGAGGAATCTGACACTGCACTGTTGCCCTTCTGTTGTCTTGTACCAGTCTTGTACCAGTCTTGCCACTCTCCGTTCTGCCCTAACATTGACTAGTCACTGACGGCCACAATTCGCACGTTCAGACCCAGATTTTCGGCTGACAGTCCAGTCTTTAAACACTTTAACAACAGCTGCTCTTGAACATTTAACAAATTCTGCTGTTTTGCTGATACTCGCTCCATGGCTCCGAGCGCCAACAATCATCCCACGTTCAAAGGCTGTTAAATCGCGTTGTTTACCCATATCTTCAGAAAAAAATCACTTCCACTGTCGTGGTAAACAACCTGCTTCCCTATTTATAATGGTCTGGCCCTCTAGCAACTTCAGCGCGAAATTATAGCTAATTTGCCTACAAACGTCAGGTGGTCATAATAATCTGGCCACTCAGTGTATATAGTTATGGGGGGTTTGCAGACAAGGGTTAACTGCTTATTTTTGTCTATGGCAGGGGTGGGCAACTCCGGTCCTCCAGCCGTGCATCATGCATCAGACTCTGGTAGTCATACTTTCAGAGTCTTGCAATGCCTCATGGGACTTGTATTTTTTCACAACAGCTGGAGGGCTGAAGTTGGCCACCCCTGGTCTAGGGGTATTAAAAATGTTTACAAGATCACCGGGGAGCGTGGTGCTGGCTTCCAAGCCAGTCAGGAAGTGCCCCTGACTCACCCCCCGACATCCTGATTGGCCGGAAGGCCAGCTCCTTGGGTGGTGACCCGCCCCCTGACTTCCTGATTGGCCGGGGAGCTGACTCCGTGCTCCCTTGTCACTTGGTGGCGTGAATGGCTCGGTGCCTGGCCTCCTAATTGGTCGGGAAGTTGGCCGGTCAGGGGGTTGGGTAGCAAGTTGGTGCCCACCCCCCCGGCTTTCTGATTGGCCAAGGCGGCCAGGTCCGTGCTTCCTCATCACATGGCGAGTCGGTACGCGCTGCCTGGCTCCCCGGCTAGTCAGAATGCCAGGTGGTGAATCATTGCATACAGCCCGGTTCCTTATGGGTTTAAAAACCCATAACTGCCAAATTTGTTTTCCAACAGAATGGAACAAATTGATTGGCATTGGTCACCATATTTCATTTTTTGCCTTACTAATGCGCCCTTAGCAGTTTTTTTTCTTGCCTAATTTACAAATAAATGGCTAACTGCTCCAATTGCTTTTCCTCCATGTTTTTTGTCATAACATTTACTGTATATGATGAATGTGGTAAGTTTTTGTTTTGCATTGCCTTCCATTGCATATGCTGCATGCGCTAAATTGTGAGATTTGTATTTTAAAGTTGTGTTGCTATTGCTTTTCTGTTAAGGTAAAAATTATTACATGAGCTCTACTGCAGTATTTAGGGCAATCAAGCCCATCTTTCATCTAGCTCTAGGGGATCAGTGTTGCCTAAGCAAGTCAGAGCTGTGGTCTTCAAATGTGGCTGCCTTAAAGGACTAGGCTGCTTTAATACAAATCAGCTATTTTGGCCTAGATTGTTCACTTCTCCTGCCTGCTCCAAACTCTTCACCCTTTTGTGAATAACCCTGTAAGTTTTTCAAATTAAATAATTGAAAAGTTAGTTTTTTTCTCTTTGTGTTTTTTGAAAGATTCCACACCACGTTTATGCCCATTGCTCTTCTTCCCCCAAACAAATGCACTACTCTGAGCAAAGTGGGTTTATGCACAACTTATTTAATAAGAAGCAAAGCCTGTGTGGATCTGTGATCTTTTCCAAGAGCTACATTATGTTTTTTGCTGGGTTTACTGTGTAAATAACCCATGTTAAGCTGTTAAGGAAACCAGCTGAATAAATGCTGTTTGTGTGAAAGGCGAGCAATAAAGATTGTCCAACAAAAAAAAGTGTTAACAAAGGTCCTTGCAGCGTAAGGCTAGCCTCACTGCAAAGGGAGTTTCTTTCTTTTACCTGGCGATAGGCTAGGAAAACTTTCAAGGCAAAAGTGCACATTTTAGCACGTGTGTGAAAAAATAGAAAAACTGGCAGCCAAAAAATTAAAAGGGCACATATGACACAGAAAAAGTAATCACACTCCACCTTTATAAAAATTAACCATAATTAATAGCTATACACGTCCTGCAAAGTAACACCGAATACAGAATAAAACAAAACAAAAAAGACAGAGGAAAAGGAAACTGTCAGAACACCGCTGACGATCTATTGCACCCAGGTACTGCAAATAAATTTGTTTACATCTGTTTCAATAAAGTAGCAAAAAAAATTGTAGAGGTCGCTGGAAAGTGACGTAATAATTAGGGGACGGTCTTTTTTTCCTCTCATAACCTCGAGGGTGCTGAAGGAGAGTGCAGATTGTGTGTGGTGGAGTATTTTAGATTGCTACTGCCAAAGAAGAAAGACATATAGAAGAATGGTGGTTGTAGGGAAGACTAGCGCCATTGCGGCTGGAGTTTGCGGAGCCTTGTTTTTGGGTTATTGCATTTACTACGACAGGAAACGGAGGAGTGACCCCAATTTCAAGAACCGCCTGCGAGAGAGTAAGAGCACAATTAATTGCTTGACAGTTAGATTGCTTGAGATTAGGTTGAGTGTTTTATGTGACACGGGATCAGTAAAGGACATTCCTGCTGCTGAGATTCAATAAATTTCCTGTTGATGACTCGCACTGGGGCTTTTTGTTCTATAGCAATGAAAGGCTAGTTCCACCTTTCACACCCATATTGACTGACAGCCGTGTCATTCACAGGATTTGTGAATGGAGAGACTACAGTCCCATCTGCCTCCACGGCGCACAAGTCACCGCATTTTGACTACTTCTTCCAGTGCCTTGACTGAAGGTCCATACCTCTGTACAGGTGGGCAGGTTGAATAGTCTGCAGGAACCTGACCTTTGCAGCCGTCATCCACTGATCCCCATTGCAATGCTTTGCAGGCTTCAATGCAAAAAATACATAATTATGCTTTTATTTTTTTCTGCAATCTGGGTACATTTATTAATTTGCAAAAAGTGATCAATGCCTTTAAGGCACTGCTGGAGCAGTATTCCATGCAAATTTAATACAGGCTAGAGGTGTAAATACATTAGTGTAGGCCATAAAAACCGGAGCAGACAAAATCTGGAGCAGTTACCAATGGCAACCAATCGGCTTCTCTCTTTCATTTTCAAAGCTTACAGTGACATTAAACTCTGCTCCAGTTTTTATGAATTCCTCACATTGTCTCAAGTGTTTGTAATACTTTCTGTTTTATGCCTTTTTATAGGCACACTAATTAATAAATAGGTCTATAAGTAATGACTTTTGAATGTTGTAACTAGACTACTGTTGCGTGACCCCGAAATGTTGCATTTATTCATTTACATCTGGAGTGCCGGTGTCTCATCTTTACTTTGCCCATATCAAGGCTCGAAGTAGACATGCATGGCATATTAAAATACAAATGGTGACTAGAATTAGCATAGAACACTGGTGTGATGTCACTTCTGGTCTTTGGTGCTTTGCATTTGCAAGCATGTTGATCCTTTTGAAGAAGAGGGTTTGGGAGATTTCTTGGGCTGTATGGCTCCAGAAAGGCCTTGGTAATATGAAAAAGCTAATTTCACAACTTCTGCTTCTGGATTGGTAATAGCTGAACTCCAGCTAGAAAGAAAAAATATCATTAGATGGTTATTTGTTTTAACTTCCCCAGAAACAATCTTCATTTCTTTTTAAAGTCCAGTTTTCTAATACTTATGCTCTTGTAAACATGCGCTATTGCGCTTTATACCTCCTAATTAGTGCAGCTTTTGTTTTGTGCGACCAGGCACCGCTATTCCCTCCATATTAACCAGTTGACATCCGCGGTGTTAAACCCCCTTTTTTGTGACTTATTTTTTTTACTTTTTTTGTTTATATATAGATATAGATTATTTTTTTTTACACTTATTGTTATTGCTATTACATAGGGGGATACAATCCCCCTATATAATAGCACAGGTACACTGACAGGTCCTCTTTATGGAGACATTAGGGGTCTCTAGACTACTAATGTCACCTGGAGACCCCAAAAGAAGCTGATGAAGCACAGATTTGCTTCATCAGCGTCTTCTCTCTGGCAGTAGGAGCCAGATGACTGACAGGTGAATGCGGAAGTGATGTAATACACATCACTTCTGCATTCACACTACAGAGGGAGATCAGCAAGGAGCTGATCTCCCCTCCCCTCCCCGCAGATGGGCTAGCGGATCCCGGGATTAAAGGTGAGGGGTCAGGCGGGGGGAGATGGCGGCTCCCGAAATTCACGCCATACAACCGATCGCCGGCTATTGAGCCGCTGATCGGTTGTATGTGAAACAGCCGTTAACGGCTGTAGAAACGAGCGGGTCTTTCCTGCGTGCGCTAGGGGGCGCGCACGAGCAGGAAAAAATGCCGTCTGGAGACGGCAACCCGCTGATACGAGTCTGCCGTCCATCCGTTTTTTCTTAACGGGCGGACGGCAAGAGGTTAAGGAATGTCTTCCAGTCGTGTTTCCTTTTCTATGTAGTATACTGAAGGAGAGCGGTGACATGCCTACTTCCTTGTGTGGGTGGATGGATCAGCACTGCTCCTGGTCAGGACCCACCCACACCCATAGATTGGCAACTTTGCAAATAGCTGCTCATGTTGGCACAGCATTTTGTGTCTGACACACAGATAACAGGCCTAACCTCCGCATATACTTCCACCATGTTGTGCATTCCCTTCTGAATTATGGAAATGTAGTTACTATTTCCCCCCTCAGATCTGACGTGGTTCCTGCATTGACAATCGGCTAACAACCCTAGAGGTGGATATACACGGTTCTATTTTTTTGTTAGTTCAACCTGTAGGCTGGATGAAAAAAATAAGAGATTCCTACATAAATGCTTATGAGCTTCTGAAACATGTTGCCTAGCAAAACTTGTCACTTTGCAACCTGGAAGTGTCCTGCGGCCGGACTCTCATGCACAGAGAACACAGGCGACAGTACTTCTCCATAGACGCTCTCCTCCAGCAGTCTACTCGGTGGCAGAAAATTTGATTTTCCTGACATATACGCCTGCCTACCTCTTACTGTTACTTACATTCTGCTACCACTGAAGACAGCTGGATGAGTTGTACCCATCGGGACATTCTTGCTGTGTGACAGGCGAGATCCCTTATGTCTAGATGTAAGTGCGTTACTGTTATTCCCATTAAAGTGTGTTTTTTATACTGCACTTAGATGTTTACGCTTGGCACTTTGTTCTCTCTTAGCTATGCATATACTAATGGTGATAATTATAAAAATAATTTTTAAAAACCATTTCACAGCACATAAAGCAAAACATTTACACTGTGCTTGATAATTCTGAAAATGTCACCACTGGCCTGGGTTCAATAGCCTTTTTAAAGCCGTTATGACAAATATCTATTTGCTGTAGTTTAACCAACTGACACAAATATATACATATCAGGGGTAGCAAACCTCTGGCCCTCCAGCTGTGGTGAAACTACAAATCCCATGATGCATTTCTCTTTGGGAGTCATGCCCGTGGCTGTGAGAATCTTGCAATGCATCATGGGATTTATAGTTCCACCACAGCTGGAGGGCCTGAGGTTTGCTACCCCTGGTTTAGACACTCTTTCAAATTGTTATCACTGACTGTGTGCAAGGTTCACTGTTTTTTATTTGTACTTTTGACTACTAGTCACTGAGAAAGATAGTATGGGGAAATTTTAAAATTTTGGAGTTGTCCTCCAGAACAAGGAATGCGGTAAAAATTTACACCTAGGGAACACATGTTCCAGGGACAATTGTCTTAAGAGGGAGACTCTAGCATAGGAGATTTCCTAAATCTGCCTGTTGCATCTCGAGGACAGGGAGTGAAGGTAAATTTCCCCAATGGTACACAGACAGCAAAAATTAAACTTGAAGGAGTTTTAATCCTTCCATATTCCATAGTTCAAAATTTGAGAATGAAGTTTGGGATATATAATTTATTTTAATCCAAAGGAAAGTTAAACAAACTTTAATGACCAAGGAAACATGTGGGTCCCGAGGTTACACAGGTTGAGAACCACTGCTCTAAAGTATGGTCCACTTTGCCCCAGTAGGCAAATATTTCTGCCTGATATTCTAAAGTTGAACTCTAGATCAAACTAAGATTAAGCCAGTCTCCAGACCCATCTTATGTTGCTGTGCATTAACTGATGTTTCAAATACTTGTAAAATACTTATTTTTAGATTTTATTATACGAGCCGTGTTACTGCTGTGACACTCTTCCTTCTTTCTTTATCCTTACCATATGGACGAAGAGCACCTGGAGTCTTCTTGAAATCATTGTGGCACACACTCACACTGCAGCCACAAGTCCCACAACACATTGCGCCTTAGCTTCCATGGAAATTATATTTTTCCTTTATATCACTGCTATATTATCTGTCACTCTTGATACTCCAAAAAAACAAGGCTAGTGTGAAGGTGAGACTTGCATGAAGGTGGCATGTTTGGAAGCAGAGACACAAAAGAATAGTCCCTCTACCTAACTTTCTGGTGACCCTCCGTTTCTCGAAATGTGGCTTCTTTGCTGCTCTCTGGCTGATGCAGATTTTTGGTTGGATTGGTTTCCCCTGCTGTACACTGTGGATAATCCCACTGGCTTGTTTGTCCTGTAATGAGTACAGGTCACTGGGAGAAACCACAGTGTGGGGCAGGAAAGCAGGTATTTTACACACCGGGAAGTGCGCAATACATGCAGCAGCTGGAAAGCAGTGAAGAAATGGTGTGTCAGCAAACAGATTGCCGGAAAGGTAACTATAGTGACTTCTTTGAGCAAGAATTGCATTTTATACAAGTGGCTCTGCTGATTGACAACAGGCAGTGGGCGGGTCCAATAGCCAGCCTGCTATTGCAATTTAAAATATCCAATAGCAGGCTGGCTATTGTTACAAGTGTCCGCTCCTTTTCCACTTGATTAAACTGTTTCCTTTTGGTTATACAGGGTGACCGACTGGAGTCGGATGTTTTTAGAACAGGTAGTACATGATAAGGGGTGATGGGAGGGGGATGAGCTAGGTGTCTTCCTCCCTACTGGAATGCCAATTCAGTCACAATGAAGCAATGGACATTACAACATCGTTTGTTTACGACAGCTTTGTGGTGAGTCAAACACAGCGGCTATTTCGTCGAGAATTCAATGTTGAAACCAATGTTCAATGTTGGTTGACATGGTGCCGTTTCCAGTCGCAACACGGTCCTCAGGTTTGTTGAACATTTCAGAACAACCGGAAACATGAACAAGAAACCACCAGGCCCTGCCCGCACTGCAAGGACGCCGGAAAACATTGTACGGGTGAGAGAGGCACTGGTTAGGAGCCCAGGACGGTCTGCTCGAAGACATGCAAGTGAGTTAGGGTTAAGTAGTGAATCAGTGAGAACCAAGATCACGTGCAATCGCACAGCAAAGTCTTTTTGTTGCTCGTAATCTCTCACATTGAGCTGTTGAACAACCTGCATTTTGTATGGATGGAATCTTAAATCTCTCTGTAAAATGGTTCTCACTGATTCATGCCTCAACCCTACCTCACTTGCATGTCTTCGAGCAGACTGTCCCGGGCTCCTAAGCACTGCCTCTCTCACCCTTGCAATGTTTTCCGGCGTCCTTGCAGTGCGGGCTGGGCCTGGTGATTTCTTGTTCATAATACTTCCGGTTGTTCTGAAATGTTCAACCCGCCTGAAGACCGTGTTGCGACTGGGAATGGCCCCATGTCGATTAACATTGAATTGATGACGTAGTAGCCGCTGCGTTGCTGTGATAGACTCACCACTTCTAACAAAGCTGTTGTAAGCAAACAATGTTGTAATGTCCACTGCTTCATTGTGACTTAATTGGCATTCCAGTGGGGGGGGAGAAAGACACCTAGCTCGTCTCCGTCCCATCACCACTTACTGTGTACTACCTGTTCTAAAAACGTCCGACTCCCGTCGGTCACCCTAGATATCTCAGTGTCAGCTGCCCGTGCTCCTTCTTTGTTCTTACCCTAAAGAGAACTATGGGGAAAAACACTGACCCTCATAGTTCTCCTTTTAATCAAAGGGAAGGTCCGTTCTGTGTTCACAGGGGAGGAGAGGAGAGAAGCCGTAAATCTTGACTACACACAGAACGGTTTTCCCTTCTTTGATTAAGAGCGAACGTCTGGTGAGTGCATTATTAAACAAATAAGGCACACAGACAGCTGACACTTTGAGATCACTTTGAGATATATAACCAAAAGGAAACAGATTAATCAAGTGGAAAAGGAGCAGACACTTGTAACACTGTGAACTGTCTTAACGGACGGAAAGACAGAGGAGGAGCAGCATCAGCGGGGGATTTCACCGGCCGGAGTCTCTTCTTCCCTCTCGTGCCGGCTACAGCGTTCTGTGAAAGGGACACAGACCGCTGCAGCCAGCACCAGCAGGGAAAAGAGACTGCGGCCGGTGACTCTGAAATCCCCTGCTGTACCCCCCTCGTACCTCAGCTGCCAGCAACTAATCGATGATGGGAATAGTTGCCAACTATTCACCATCAATTTTAATCAATTTATTGTTGCAGGTCTAGTCGGGTCGCAACGAAAAATTAATTTTTCTCACCTTTTAAAAAAATTATTAATAATCCTATGTATTAAACATTTTAATTAGTTTAATGGATTTGAAATAATCTGAATGGAAAAACTTCAAGCCAATATAATCAAATAACCAAACTTTTATTTAAAATAACACCAAAAACAACAAATTATAATATATATCGGCTGGCACTGTAAACAGGTCCTAATACATAGGCTGCAGGGACTTTGCTGGGGACTTTGGCAGCCTTCCTGTGAACCCCAGTACCTGTTTACAGCTCTGGCTTAATTTTCATTTTTAGAGATGCGAGGACCACAATAAATAACTGGCAGGCTGAATTCAGCCTTCTGTTTGACATGTGTGCTATAGAGGGATGTGGTGCATGCAGATGGGGTCTGTTGCCTGATGCCTATAGGGGGGATGAATGGTATTCGTCTGCATTTCTGTATAATGTATTGCTGGGATTTGTAGTCCTCTATAACTGATGGTATTCTGCGTTGCTGTATAATGTATTGCCAGGATTTGTAGTCCTCTAAAGCTGGTGCCATTCTACATTTCTTGGAAGACTCCCAGAAGGGCACTTGGATGAATGTTTATAACTAAGATATTGGTGGGGGTGGAAAGTTTGTCCTGCCCCAGGCGACTGTAGTTCAGGTTACACCACTGCACGCAGGGCAACAATCCGTCTCCGCAAGTGACCGGATTGTAGGCAGAGACAGCAAATGGGTGACTGCAGTGACTCGGGCGCGGCTGTGGAGGGACGGACGGACATCGAGGAGGCTCTAGAGGACGTAGGGAGATGACCTCTGCGGGTCAGCTGGTCATGGGGAAGTTGAGACATTGTGCTGGTCAGCCCTGTTGCTGTATGGTGCTCTGACAGGTGCCTGCTGACTATTGCCCCAGAATGCAAGGGGGGCGGTTTAGTGTGCGTTCCGGCAGCTACCGTTCTGGAATGCACTGTAGGTGGTGTGAATAAGCCCTAAAACACTTTTATACCTGGACATTCATGGCTGTAATTTGTCTTCTGTATACACTGTGGCTCCTCTGACTGCTGTAATCTTAGTCTCGTTTACACCCTTGCCCGGAATGCAAGGGATCACATACACAAAGTCTCCTTGCGTTCTGGGGTCGAAGGGGGCGTGGCAGTGCCATTCATGTCAATTGAATTCCAGACACACAAAAAATAGTGCATGCACAATTCATGTCATCGGCTGCACCAGAACGCATGGTAACACAATGCCCTGCGTTCAAGTGTGGTACAATCACAAAAAATTGTGCATGAACTATTGTTTGCGGGCTGTGTGTCTGGAATTCAATTGACATGAATGTTTACACCTGGCTAAGGGTGTAAACTTAATGATCAGCTCTCCATTGTGCAAAAAAAGCAAAGTAAAAAGGAGAAAGTTAATACCCTCATCCCCTGTTTACTCCACATCTCTGCTGTATAGCAGTTTAAGTTTGTGTTAGGGTAACATTACATTTTTTTGTCTTATTTCTATTTAATTTTTTTTAAACTTTTATTTCTGCAGAGAGAAGAAAACAGAAAATTGCTAAAGAGAGAGCTGGTCAGTCAAGGGTAAGCATTTGTACAGTTTGAAAGTCTCCCCCTAAAAGAGTATGCGTACTGTCACATCCCGTTTTACTCAGGTCACCAATGTTTCTTAACCACTTCCGGGCAGCAATAAGTCTATAGACGGCGGCCCGTTAAAGTGGTTAAAACTGCAGCAGCCGTGTTCTTGGTGCCGCTTTTAACTATAGGCGATTTGCTATTAATGTTCAAGCGATCCGGCGTCTGTACAGTCGCCGGATTGTTTGTACCATGCGGCGCCGCCGCCGTTGTCTTCCCTGGGCACCGCTGTCTCCAGGAGCGGCTCGGCGGGTCTCCCCGCAATGATCGGAGAGAGATTCAGTGACTTCCATCCGCTGATCTCTCTTCCGACCACTGGACCATTGATCACTGGATCAATGTGTATTACATCACTTCCGGTGTCACTGTACATAGTCTGCGGCTCTTAGAGCCAGGAGATCTCTGCTTCCTAAGCTTCTTTGGGGTCTCTAGGTGACATTAGAGGTCGGAAAGACCCCTGATGTCTCCATAAAGAGGACCTGTCACACCATATCTGCTATTACATAGGGGTGCTTGTTAGCCCCCTATGTAATACCAATAGGGTTAGTGTAAAAAATAAATACAAATAAAGTGTTTAAAAGTTATAAAAATGAAAGGAACATAAAAGCAAAATTAAAAAAATGCAAAAACATTTGTTTAAGTCCCCCACGTGCACGCACATAAACACGCGTCGGTGCGCCTACATGCGAAAACTACAATTTTGCTACACATGTTACATGTCGGAGTGAGCAATAATTCTTTTTTTTTCAGAAATATTTTTGAGATTTTTACAAAAATAATATGAATATACTAACAGAAACAAAAGACGTATATACAGCACAACAACCGCGGTCTTGCAAAGCATATATTATGTCCGGGCCGTATAACATAGAAGGCATTCATGGTGTATGCACCTTATGAAATCCCTGAGCTAGGCGCGATTTGGAGTGCGCTACCCTGCAGGGCTTGGACCGCCATCCTGCTATCGGAGGCTAGCCAATTCTAAGGAACAGTGTGTAATGGGGGGTGAGTAAAGGGTAGGCGAGGGGGTAATCCCACCTCACGACCTGTGAAGTTGCCCCTAGTTTGGTTGGAGTGTTAGAGGGATCTCTGAAGACTCACCGCAGCGACCGGAACTCCTCCGTATCTAAGAACAAAATCCATGGCGTCCACCTGGTCAGAAAGGTATCAGATCGGTCAGCTCTTTCTGCAATGAGCTCCTCAGATCTCATCAGGCAGCAGCAATGATAAAGAATCTAAGTAGGGACTTTTTCACCTTGGAGATAGAGCCCGGAAAGACCGATAACAGAGCCATCTCCGGTGTAATGTGCAGGTCAATGGAGGTAACTCTGGAGTAGACATGTGAGAACTCGCCAAAAGGGCAGAAGCAGAGGGCAACTCCACCACACATGGGCTAACGTGCCAGGTCCAACCAGGCATCTCCAGCATGTGTCCGGGTACGCAGAGGAGATCTGGTGCATTCTAACCGGGGACCGATACCATCGGGTCAGCAGTTTAAAGTTCCGTTCTTGTGCATACGTTGACATACAGAGTTTGTGTGTAAAGCACAGACGTTTGCGACGATCATCCTCCGAGAGGGCGATTCCCAACTCCTGTTCCCAGGCGGAGAAGAAGTACAGGGATTCCCCGCTATGCGCGGTGATCAAAGCTTGGTAGAGCAGCGAAACAGGGCGTTGAATTGGTAAACCAGTAACGCACAGGTCCTCAAAAAAAGTGAGAGGCCTATAGAGAGCCAGCCAGGAGGCTTGCAGGAGTGGGTTGGGGACAGACAGTGATGCCAGTGGCTGCAGGGCGGATCTCGACAGGCACTGGAATACATAACAAGGTTCAGAGATCTTCCAGCACAAGAAGGTGGGGACTCCACACCCTGCCGGGAAACCCGGGTTGGCAAGGATCGGGGTCATAGGGCCCTGGAATGTGGATAGGTTATATCTGGACCTCGTGGTGTTCCATACCCGTAACACTATGGGTGGGAAAAAGGGAAGTTCCTCGCGGTCGAAGAGTAGTTGGTAACCATGGAAGTGTGAACGGTACCGGGGAGAGGCCGCGTTCCTGGGTGACCCACAACGCGGGGTCGCTAGAAGTGAGCAATAATTCTAGCGCTGTTAATCACTGTTACCACTAAACTGATGAGCGGTAAAAGCGTTTAAAATGTTCCCTATGGGAAATTTGGGGTACTGATTTTTTTTTGCGGCTTCACGGCGAACACAATTTTAAGGCTTACCTGGCGTGACCCCATCTTTCATATTTTACCAAATAAATGGGTATTATATTATGTTTCTGTGCACTAAATTTTAATTTAGTTTATTTTTTCCTAAAAAAATACTGGTTTGATAAACATTTGCGCAAAAACCGTGCGACGTACAAAATTGCAACTAGCATTTTTTATTCTACAGGGCCTCTGCTTTCAGAACATATATCATTGTTTGGGGGTCTGAAGCTGTTTTCTAGCCAAAAATGTATATTTTATCATTTGTGGCGGGTGCTGCTCACTCACCGAGGAGAGAAATCCAATATAGAGGCATAAATGTGCCAAATGGTGAAGTAAAATTTTTTAATTTATTACAACAATAAAACGCACTTACAAGATAACTTGCAGCAAACAATCGATTCCACCTAAGCAAACCGGAACCAGAAATCCACCTGCTAGTCACCTGTGGTGTAACCTCAGTAAGTGTCCTATCCTTTCCGACGCATTTTGTCCCTTGACTTTTTCCAGGAAATGTTCACATTCTGAGATATGGCTAGGGCTTTCCTATACAGCCTCCAGAGGCCACTAATAGACTTCACATGTTAGCGGTGCAGTCAGTGGATTGCCAAAGGTATAACAACACTATCAGTTATCCCTTTGGAATATTATTAACCCATTAACCAGTTGACATCCGTTATGCCGTCTGGAGACGGCAACCCGCCAATGCTACAGTGCCGTCCGTCCGTTTTTTTTACAACGGGCGGACGGCAAGTGGTTTAATAACTATGGGATTAAATTTACCATTAATAAAGGGGGAAAAAGTGACAACTTTTTGGATTTGTCTATTTTTATATAAGGGAAGGAGTTTTGTACTAAAACATTCTTTAAAACTACAGAGAGGAACGGGTATTTACCAACATACAGCTGCCATCACCCTCAATGGGTTCATAATATTCTGAAGGGACAACTGATACAGATCAGACGTTACTGTACTACTGTAAGCACTACTACTGTGCGTGCTCGTGGCTGTATGCGTCCATAGACGCACACAGCCCTGCGGCAGGCCACACCACTCCTCAGTTTGATGACGGAAGGAGCCTGTGGCTCCCCTGCCATCAGTATCCTCCCACCGCAACCAGGAAGAACAGTGAACGGAGAATCGCTTCGGGACTAGTGGCGGTGACTGGGAGCTGACAGGTAAGTTTTTTTTGGGGGGGGGGGAGAAAAAGGTACTGGACGGTTTTTACCTTAATGCAGAAAATGCATTAAGGTAAAAAATCGCCCAGACCTTAATGCTACTGGTCAGTGAAATAACAGTATAAATAGACTTTGTAATGCCTTACCAATGGGGCTCTTCCCTGGTTGAAATCAGTAAAGCTGCAATGAGGATGTTGTTTTTGTCAAAGGTCTGCAGGTGCCTTGATTTCCTCTTGTTTAAATGGTTGAATGTTTTTTTTTTTTTTTTTGGTGTGCCCACTCCTCTGCTTGGAGTTTTTGAATATCCCAAGGTTGCTTACTGTAATTATCAAGCTCGGTGGATGATGGAGAAAATAGGATTTTCGTACTCACCGCAAAATCCTTTTTTTACAGTCTATTACAGCTCCTTCCTCTCATATCTTATTGTACTTTCTTTGGACTGCTTGCTGCAACTAAACAGGTGTGAGGTAAAACCTAGGTTGTTTAAAGAATATCTAAACCCAAAAGGAAAAATTTAATATTTTGCAGTTTACCAGTTTTTAGATGTGGTGGCTACATTAGTTATTGTATTTTCCTTTGTTTTCACACCTAGTAATCCAGCTAGTAAGTCCTGTTATTTTTCAACTTTCTATAACAGACCAAGCTATCCAGCCTAAGTAGCAGTTGGAGGGTTGAGACAAACCATTTAACACTGACTGGGTGCTTACAATTGTTAGATTTTATTTATGGGGAAACCTTTATCCCAAAAGGTAAAAAAACAAAAAAAAAACTGCTTGAAAAGTGTCAGCTGGAGTTTGGCTTTAATTTATAAGTCAAGTTCATCTAGATTTTTAAGTGCAGCTAACACTACCCTCTCCACAGGGTGACAATGTTGCTGTCCAAAGGTGGTTCCTCTGCTCCTCCATAGAATGGAGCCACGCTAAGACATGGTGTGTGTCACTGGCCAAATCACCAGGTGAAAATAAAGCAAAAAAAAAAAGTCTAAAAATAAGAAAATTAATACAGCCACCACAAGGATGGGTAAGCTGCAATATATAACATTTTTGTTTTTGGGTTTAGATATGTGTTAATTACCATCAAGCTGTCTCTCAATGGCCTGCAACAGATGGATTTTATGGTGAATACTAAAAACCTATTTTTTGTAACTGTCCCATAACTCCCACTTTTTAAGCAACCCAAAGGAGCTGGCAGCATTGTATATGTATATGGTTGTATATGATTTGTCTTCAAGCAATGGCTGGGTCTCACTCTTCTGTCTGTGATGTGAAAATAATTGTAGACTCTAGTTTTTAATGATTGCCTTTTTCTAGAGCCACAACTACTTAAGGTGGCTACAGACCTCAGAATTTTGAAAGATGAGATAGAAATATTCATCCTTGGCCAGCTGTTTCCTCTCCTGATAATGCATGCACCATATGATGCTGGCAAGACGTAAACCATGAGATTGTTGCCCAGTCTGACCATCATTGGTCAGATGGGCAAATGCTTTTTTATGCATGTGCATACAACTTTATCCTGCACACACATCTCTTCAGATACGTGCATATGCTAAAGGTGGTTCCATAAAGCCAAATTACAAACAACTTTGTCCTGCACACACATCTCTTCAGATACGTGCATATGCTAAAGGTGGTTGCATTAAGACAAATTATATTGGGAAGGCTAGTACTCCAAAGTGAAATCCAAAAGCTCCTTTATTTGGAGCAAACAATATAACTTTTTGGTAATGTGAAAAGGCTCCTTTTTGTAAGGGTGTCTGTAGGTATCTTTAGAAATCTTCTTCTAATTGTAAAAATATTTTTTTATGCTAATACAGTAAAACTTGTTTTGCATGTTCTTACAGTTACCTGACCTTAAAGATGCAGAGGCTGTTCAGAAGTTTTTCCTTGAAGAAATTCAGCTTGGAGAAGAGCTACTAGCACAAGGTTGTCATGGCCCAGTTTTTTGTTGTACATTTCTGAAAACAAGAATTTCTGTTTGTCTTCATTGTGTATTAAAACCTGTAATTGAGTTTACTCCATTGCACATGTCATTACAACAGAGTGCTCTTGGTGGTCGTCTCTGAAGACATACAGTTGCCAAGGGTGGTGTTACTGAGTGTAGTCCTTTGTGCTCAACATGCAGCTTTTAGTGCAAGCCTACTTTTCACTGCACCAAGCTCACTATATGGACCATTTATGTATATTTATACATGGTGATCATGTCCCCCCCTTAATCGCCTCTTCTCCAGAGAGAACAAATTCAGGTCAGTAAATCTTTCCTCATAGCTGAGCTCCTCCATGCCTCATCAGTTTAGTTGCCCTTCGCTGCACTTTCTCCAGTTCCACAACATCCTTTTTGTGAACTGGTGCCCACAACTGAATTGCATATTCCAGATGAGGTCTTACTAATACTTTGTACAGGGGCAGGATTATGTCTCTATCTCTGGAGTCTATACACCTTTTAATACAAGAAAATGTTTTGCTTGCTCTAGAAACTGCATGCTATTAGAAACTGCATGCTATTATTCGGTCTATGGTCTACCAGAACACCCAGATCTTTCTCCATCATTGACTCCCCCAAACATACTCCCCCTAGAGTGTATGACGCATGCATGTTTCTCTTCCTTTCATTGAAGGATGTCTCCAACTTACAAAGCAGATCTGAATGCACTTCAGTGATTGGTCATCTATTTGGCAAATTAGGTTTAATGTTGATAAATGTAAAGTTATGCACTTGGGGACAAAAAAATAGGATTTTTGTACTCACCGTAGGATCCTTTTCTCTCCGTTCATTGAAGGACACAGGAGACAGATCTAGGCTAATGTACCGTAGGGTAATATCGCCACCTGCAGGAGAAGGACTCTAGGCACAAAACTAAAGACAAATTACAGCCTAGGGGTGGCCCCTGCTGGTGGCCAAACTCCCCACCTGCTGACAAGTCTCCAGTTTTCTGCCTAGCGTCAGGAGTAAGGAGCTAAGAATTGTTCTCTCGGGTATTCTTACCTGATCTTTTCCTGTTTTCTGCGCTGAAACTTCTAGCAAGTGTCATCAGGGCGACAGGCTGGATGTTTAAGATCCTTGTAGTCTCCCCTGTGCGACCGGCGAGCACATGCAGACTCTGACACGGTGGGTCGGCTGCGACGACTCTGTCTCGACGGATTAGCCTGTGGGTTCGCCCAGTGGGGAACATATGACTGGGGGTCTCGGCCGCCCAGTCACAGTACTCCATACAGGCTGGTGGCGCCGCGACTGTGGTCGGGGGTGTTCTTCCGCCGTCCCTGCACGTCCTGACTGCCTGGCCTATGCGTGGACATGGGCTGTCCGTCCCCCCCCCCCCTCTTGTGTGGTATGTATGTGGGGGTTGACCGGGGATGGTGCGGGTGGACTTGGGGTCCCCCTGTCTGCCTCAACTGGCGATCCTTAGGTGGACAGGCCTACGGGGGCATTGGTGTCTGGTGTGAGGGTCCGCAGGCCTTGTTCTCCCCCTCGTTCCGGCCATCTGCTCCCTCCTGGGACTGCAGGTTCCACTGGATGTTGTGGCAGAAGGCTGCTTACTTGCAGCACCTTTCCTGTGGTGATGTGGAGGAAGGAGGAGTGCTGGGGATCC